TTGTTCTTATATGGTGAACAGGGTATATAGTAAAATGATACCATAGTAGTGGAGGAAGCTAAGAGGCGCACTTCTCCCCTGACTGGAAACCCGGCATATTATAGATGATTGTGTAATATGAGGAAGAGGCAAATAGGGCATTCCATTTCATATAAAAGGAGCCAGCCATGAGAAACAGCAACACACTGTTTTGGATCTGCATCGTCGAGAAATACTTCGGGCACTTGTATCATGGGTTTTGCAGCTCTCATTTGCCTGCAGGGGCTCCTTTTTTCAATGTGTGAGTCACTGATTGACTTCACACAACAATATATTAATGTTTGTTTTTGCAGTCTCTCTGGGATCAACAGTGTCATCTATTGTTGGATCAACAACATCCAGTTCTTCGATAATTGCCAACAGACAAGGTCCTACAGAGGGTAGAGTATATCTGAATCTGAACAACGGGGCCCGAACCAGTGGTACAGTATACAGCTGGACGTACTGCTACTCTGCAGATGGTGACCCACCTCCATATGAACTAGTCATTGCTATGTACCGACCCCAACCAAATGGAACCTATCAACTGATTCCAGGGAGCTACCGAGAGTTGAGGATTACCACTCGCCTTGGCTCCACTTTCGACTGCAGAGACATAGACCTGGACACATCTGACTTTTTCAAGGTCCAACCAAACGATGTTGTTGGTGTCTGTGAACCATTCAATTCTAGACGTGTTGAGATATTCTTCTCAGCTCCTGGCAGCTTTCTAAGCTGGAATGCAGGCAGCTGTAGCGAGGATAGGATATCCTCTTCTCGTAGCAGCCTGGCTGAATCTCAGAGAATCTTTCTCCTGCGAGCATCTATTAGTAAGGCACACTATCAAACAATAAATGTAGCTGTCTGCTTGCAAAATGTAATACTGCATCAAACATGCAGATGTGAATGAGTGTGCAGAAGGGACTCATACTTGTCATGAGAATGCACAATGTACAGATGTGGTAGGAGGGTTCACTTGCGAGTGCTCAACTGGATTCACTGGAGATGGTTCGTCTGCCAGGGTATGTTGGATGACACAATCAGATTAGTGCTCTGATATTTCCCTATCATATGCAGATATTGATGAGTGTTCCAGTGATTACAGCCCGTGTCATGAGCAGGCCACTTGCTCTAATGAAGTAGGGAATTTCAGCTGTGAGTGCAACACTGGGTTTACAGGGGATGGATTCCACTGTGAAGGTAGGCAAACTAAGTGCTTATAGTTACTATCACAGCCATAATGTCTGTGGGCATTGTTACAGATATTGATGAATGCCTCATCATTGATGGTGGTAGCACCTGCCATGAGCAGGCCACTTGCTCTAATAAACCAGGAGGTTATACCTGCACATGTAACACTGGGTTTACTGGCAATGGCTCCTTCTGTGAGGGTAGGTCAATTGGTTTACGGGGCAAGATATTATAATATCATAATAATCTGGCATCCACGACAGATATTGATGAATGTTTGAGCGGTGATCACTCCTGCAGTGGGAATGCTGTCTGTGCCAATGAAATAGAAGGCTTCAACTGTATATGTAGTGGCACACTCTCCACACCCAATGGTAGAAAGCACACTTACTACAACTATTACTATCCATACTCATGTCTCTTAAACTTAGTTATTGCATAGCTAATAGCTACTGCTCCGGTTACACCTTCTGTATTTAGGGACAGGAGCTCAGACACAGTCTGGGACCAGCGCTGTGACACCGATCGTGTTGATAACGGCTGGTGCCTCATCTGTTGTGACATTCTTTGTTAGCGTCATGGCCACATTGATCTGTGTCAAGCTGTGGCAGATGAAGAAGAGGTTAGATTGCAAGCAGTCCGAGCTACATGTGTTATGTGTGTCTCTTTCAAACAGACATAAGCTGAGTGAACCCGTTGTTCCTGCTAGTGGAGGAAATGATATCATATCCAAGCCATGTTTGGCATATGGTTCTTTGGGTACAGAGAAAGAAGCCAAAGATGGTCAAAATGAAGGGTACTATTCTTATGCAGACTAAAATTAGATTTGGTATATATTATAGCTGTAAACAAGAAATCTTTCGTGCACGAGCACCGGGCATGGCGGCGCGGCGCGCAGAGAGCTGCTAGCGCGAGCGGCGGAAGTGACGTCACGTGATTAATCCCCGCAAAATAATGCAGCGCAGATCGATCAGAGCGTGATTATCGTTAAACCCTCGGCGCGCATGCGCAGCGAGGTTCGTCTGCGCGTGTGTACATATACAGGCTCCTATTAGCGATGATTTTCCTGAAACGACTGCTTCGAGAGATATGCTGTGAAAACAAGCGAATAATATGCATAATCGCTCTGGGCTTACCGTGACCTGATCCGCTACCTTGGGGGCTCAGGAAGTCACAACGAATGGCATGTATCGACTCCCGCATGCTATCTACTACCGTAGCTTGCCCGTGTCAGACTCTCCGCGAGCTACTAGCGGGAGACCACGAGTAAACGCAAACAAAATAGCCCAGCCCATCAATTAGCAGTATCCCGCATGCGCAGTTCGCCGGTATCTAAACAGAATAGCTACACATTTAACTGTAAATTTGCACACACATCACTCTGTTGACCCATGATAGAATGTGCTTGTGACTAAGTGTAACTCCCCAACACAAGAGAATCCATCTCCAGTGAATCCAGGATTGCACCTACAGTTGTAGCTGTCTTCTCCTCCCACACCCCTTCCCCTTGTCCCCTGCCTAGTAGCCTATAATAGTGGCACACAAGAAATGGTAACCATGAATTCTGTCTTTGCTGTTTTGTGAGCAGAGTATCTAGCACTCACCGAAGGAAATTGAGACGAGCAAAATCAATCACACTTTGTGTTGGCTTTGCCTCAGTTTCAGAATAGCTATATAGGATGGCCTACTTGTAGCATGGAGTGATCAATCCTTATGGCATTATTCTAGTAACTCCCTCCCACAACCACAACTGCAAAACAATCCCATTTACTTTATATAGCACATCATTACTAGAGCACTCATCGATCGGGAACTGACTAGTCAGGTAGCTAAGTCGAATATGGACATGGACAGATTACTATGGCAATTTGGGGTTTTGTATAAGATACTACCTGGTTCACTAAAACACTGCATAATTATACATTTGTTCTTATATGTGAACAGGGTAGTAGTAAATGATACTGTATATAGTAGTGGGGGAAGTTAAGAGACACACTTCTCCCCTGACTGGAAACCCGGCATATTATAGATGATTGTGTAATATGAAGTATAGAGGCAAATAGGGTAATGTTCACATTCCATTTCATATAAAAAGAGCCAGCCATGAGAAACAGCAACACACTGTTTTGGATCTGCATCGTCGATAAATACTTCGGGCACTTGTATCATGGGTTTTGTAGCTCTCATTTGCCTGCAGGGGCTCCTTTTTTCAATGTGTGAGTCATTGATTGACCCCTTTAAACAACATATTAATGTTTGTTTTGCAGTCTCTCTGGGATCAACAGTGTCATCTATTGTTGGATCAACAACATCCAGTTCTTCAATAATTGACGACAGACAAGGTCCTACAGAGGGTAGAGTATATTTGAATCTGAACAATGGGACCCAAACCAGTGGTACAGTATACAGCTGGACGTACTGCTACTCTGCAGATGGTGACCCACCTCCATATGAACTAGTCATTGCTATGTACCGACCCCAACCAAATGGATCCTATCAACTGATTCCAGGGAGCTACCGAGAGTTGAGGATTACCACTCCACTTGGCTCCACTTTTCGACTGCAGAGACATAGACCTGGACACATCTGACTTTTTCAAGGTCCAACCAAACGATGTTGTTGGTGTCTGTGAACCATTCGATTCTGGACGTGTTGAGATATTCTTCTCAGCTCCTGACACCTTTCTAAGCTGGGATGCAGGCAGCTGTAGAGAGGATAGGATATCCTCTTCTCGTAGCAGCCTGGCTGAATCTCAGGGAACAATCTTTCTCCTGCGAGCATCTATTAGTAAGGCACACTATCAAACAATAAATGTAGCTGTCTGCTTGCAAAATTGACTGCATGAATACATGCAGATGTGAATGAGTGTGCAGAAGGGACTCATACTTGTCATGAGAATGCGAAATGTACAGATGTGGTAGGAGGGTTCACTTGCGAGTGCTCAACTGGATTCACTGGAGATGGATTCGTCTGCCAGGGTATGTTGGATGACATGGAGGGAGACAATCAGTTTAGTGCTCTGATATTTCCTATCATAATTATTATGCAGATATTGATGAGTGTTCCAGTGATTACAGCTCATGTCATGAACAGGCCACATGCTCAAACGAAGTAGGAAATTTCAGCTGTGAGTGCAACACTGGGTTTACAGGGGATGGATTCCACTGTGAAGGTAGGCAAACTAAGTGCTTATACTACTATCACGGCCATAATGTCTGTGGGCATTGTCACATGTATTGATGAATGCCTCATCATTGATGGTGGTAGCACCTGCCATTAGCAGGCCATTTGCTCTAATAAACCAGGAGGTTATACCCGCACATGTAACACTGGATTTACTGGCAATGGCTCCTTCTGTGAGCTAGGTCAATTGGTTTACGGGGCAAGATATATTGTATCATAATAATCTGGCATCCACAACGGATATTGATGAATTTTGGAGCGGTGATCACTCATGCAGTGGGAATGCTGTCTGTGCCTATGAAATAGGAGCTTCAACTGTATATATATGTAATGGCACACTCTCCAAATGTAAGCACACTTACTATAACTATTACTCACTACACTATCCATACTGATGTCTCTTAAACTCAGTTATTGCATAGCTAATAGCTACTGCTCCCATTACATCTTATGTATGTAGGGACAGGAGCTCAGACACAGTCTGGTACCAGCGCTGTGACACTGATCGTGTTGATAACGGCTGGTGCCTCATCTGTTGTGACATTTTTTGTTAGCGTCATGGCTACACTGACCTGTGTCAAGCTGTGGCAGATGAAGAAGAGGTTAGATTGCAAGCAGCCCGAGCTACATGTGTTATGTGTGTCTGTTGCCATAAATAGACATGAGCTGAGTGAACCCGTTGCTCCTGCTAGTGGAGGAGTTGACATCATATCCAAGCCATGTTTGGCATATGGTTCTTTGGATACAGAGAAAGAAGCCAAAGATGGTCAAAATGAAGAGTACTATTCTTATGCCAACTAAATTAAATTTTGCGTTTGTGTAGCTGTAAACAAGAAGTTTGTAGATCTCTCGCGCGCACGCGCACCGCGCATGGCGGCGGCGGCGCAGCGAGTGACGTCACAGGATTATTCCGCGCGCGCATTATAATGCAGCGCAGAGAACTACTTAGCATTGAAACACCGTGTGATTGGGTTCTCGGAAACCTATACCGACTAAGAGCGTGATGATCGTTTGCTTCTTCATTCTCATTTGTATATGTAAGTGCAAAAACTGCAGGTGAATCTTTGTACCATGCCATCCTGTCTTCCTGTGTTAGAGATTAGTTTTCCCATAGCTGGCATTGATAATACAGTCAGAGGTAATGCATGTTTCCTTGGCAAAGTGATGGATTAGTTCATGATAAACATCCCAGGTAGCATTAGTCATACAATACAGTCAGAGGTAATGCATGTTTCTTTGGACATTGATATGTAGTTCTACCGATATCCTACAAGTTAGGGCATGAGTTGCTGCAGAGAATAACAACATATCCAGGTGACACACTTGTCACGTCTTTTGTTAGTGTATAGGAAGCCATAACTTTGACAGCCTACACAAAGCCAACTGGAAAAACATCCCTACTGTTAGAGTCTCACAATGTTCCTCGCAGCTATTGCCGCTAATTCTCAATCATGTCCGTCCTATGACGTTGGACTGGCATCAGGGATTCTGATGGGAAGTAGAAGGAACCCCTTTGACGGCTACGTGTATCTAAACCTGAGGGACAAATCTCTCTGCAGTGGTACAGCGTATGCCTGGAGGTGCTGCTTCATTTCAAGCACTGATGAGCCACCGCTAGAGATAGTTCTTGCCATGTATCGACCCCAGCCCGACGGATCATACCAACTGGTACCAGGGAGTCGCTACGAGCTCCAGCTTTTTGAGACATACGACACCTTTACATGCGTAGACATAGTTCTTCAACCATCCGAGTACTTCCAAGTACAGGAGGACGATGTGGTGGCATTTTGCGAGGATTTCAACATAAATCGACTCCAAGTGTACATGTCGGAGCTTGGCAGCTCGGTGTGGCACTGGAATGCTGGTGGGTGCTCAGAATCCTCGCTCTCGCTCACTGGGACACTGACACAGATGACCGATAGAGTGTTCATGGCCTCTGCCCAGATTGGTTAGATGATAATGTATAATATAGTGTGGGTGACACTGTTTTTGTCTTTGTGCAGATCCAAATGCGTGTGATGATGGAAGTGCCAACTGCCACAAAGATGCAACGTGTTTTGATGGTGTCGGAGGTTTCACCTGTCAGTGTAACCATGGGTTTACTGGAGACGGTATTTCATGTGTTGGTGAGTTATCGATACTCTATTGCATCCTCAATCATTAGAAATCCCTTGCGTAGATACTGGTGGAGGTGATGGTGCGGGTAATGAAGGCAGTGGAATTGGAAATGAGACAAAAAATGGCAGTAGTACTGGTAATGGGTCAGGTAGTGGTACAGTAAGTAATGGAATAAACAACAATGGCACGGAAAGTGGCGGAATGGACAATAATAGTAGTGCCACTGGTGGATTGGACGGTATGAATGGCACAGAGAGTGCTGGAATGGGTAATAATGACAGTGCTAGCAATGGATTGGACGGTATGAATAGCACAGTAAGTGGTGGCATGGACAACAATGGAACAGACAATGAAATGGACAGAACAAACAATAATAATGGTACAGTAAGTGGTGGAGTGGAGAATAATAGCACAGACAAGAATGGAGTCACTGATGGAAACACCAGTGGGAACGAAACAATGGGGTCGAGTGATGATGGAGTGAGAGAGAGCACTGGCATGTCTGAGATACTATTGGCAACAATCATCGTCTTGGTGTTTCTTCTACTCGTAGCCATGACTGCAGTAGCTGCATTTGCAGTTTTGTTTTGGCAGAAAAAGAGAAAAAATGGTAAAGACAACCAGTGTGAGCCATATAAACCTGTCATTCACTGTAGCTTTGTATTGTGAGTAAAGTGCAAAGGGGGTATTATGTAGAAATGTTATAACTCTTCCATCCACAGAGAGAGTCGAGAAAAGAAGTATTCCAGAACCTGATGTAGCCTCAACTCTCCGGAGTTCACATCACACCTCCATACCAGAAAATGTGTACGGCTACCTCGAACCTGACCTTTACTCTTCACTGTCTCTGACACGATCACATGACAGCGTAAGACTTTACCAAGTACATTTTTAAAAACTTTTATGCTCTTATGTTGCAGTATGCAACAATGTACCAACTACCTGCAGATGATTTAGACGAATTGGACGAGGTAAACAAATTTACCTACCATGTAGTTTTGCCCCTGTAAAATATTTCCTAAATTGGTATATAGACCCATGAATATGTCGCACTGTACGAAGAACCAGCTCAGGAAGAAAGCGGACTCTATGCTCAGATCAGCTCTTACGATATAAAAGTTATCCCCTAGAGGAGAGCTTCGGTAAGATACAACATGTCCCAAAACAAAGTGCAGTCAGATGCATGCTGTGTTCTTCACACAGAATTATCTCCCATCTGGGGTCTGGTGAATTTGGGAGTGTCAGTGAAGCAGAGTGGAGAAATGGTCGAAAGCAACTGACTGTGGCAGTAAAGATTCTGACAGACTCGGCCAACACTGTCAAGTTTCTCCAGGAGGCAGCCATCATGGCCCAGTTCAGACACCCCAACATTCTCACTCTACATGGAGTAGTCAGTACTGGCCACCCAGTGAGCTGTGACTGAAACTCACAATCGTTCACAATTATAACTGCTCTTTGGCATTGCAGAAAATGATAGTCATGGAACTCATGCACAATGGAAACCTGAAGGACTTTGTTACGAAAACTGAGACCAGAGTAAAGTTATTCAACTACTGTTATGGAGAAAGATTACATTGATTTCTCTCACCAGTCCAGGTGAAATGGTGCCAGACTATGTGCCACATCAGCTGCTGAACTTCTCCAAAGAAGTGGCTCTGGGTCTCCACTACCTCTCGTGCAGGGGGTTTGTCCACAGAGACTTGGCTGCCAGGAACATACTGGTCTCCAACATGACTTGCAAGGTTTTATCACACTTCTTTCACGTGAATAATACTACCACTGCCCTTGTTCTAGATATCTGATTTTGGAATGTCGAGGGATCTGGCTGATGAGGATATCTATGTGTCTCATGGAGGAGTGATCCCAATTCGCTGGACTGCTCCTGAGGCTATCTCACAGAAGAAATACTCCACAGCCAGTGACGTGTGGAGCTATGGCTGTGTCCTCTATGAGATATGGAGTCTTGGACACAAGCCTTTTGAGTCAATCACCGTCCAGCAGGTCTGTTATTGAGCTGCGTTTAGAGGTTAGGTCAACTGGAGTAACTGGAAACTGAGCCCACAGATCTTGCAGGTGGTAGATTTGGGCCATCGTCCCCCACCTCCTCCAGGCTGCCCCAAAAGCATCTACCAGCTTATGATAGATGCATGGTAAGCTACAAAGAGAGGTATATAGCCATAGCTAAAGACTACTGTATGCTGATGCACTAGGCACCCAGGTGTGTCAAGCAGACCTCAACCGAGGGATGTGTTGAAGGGTCTTCTGGGGAATGTTGAGCAGGTACTGGCTATACCTCCTGAAGATGTGCCAGCTGACAGTCAGGCTGCTGCCCTGGGAGCTCCTCTGGACAGAGCCTCTCATCTCTACCAAGACCTTCAGAACACTTACATGTAGATGTACCTATACTCTGATGTGTTAGAATCACCATAGCTAGTTTGTTAGATGTCACCTTAGTCCCAGTACAACATGCTATGCCAGTTCTATTAGCAAAATATTATATTGCAGATTTTTATGTGACGGGCATCGGAATGCGCCTCGATATCCACGCATGCGCATGCCCAAAGCTCTCTTGACCTGGCGTTACCTATCGCGGTGAAAGACGACTGCGATCCTGCTCTCTATCTTGCTAATGCTCGCTACCTTTTTATTCACTCAAAATTTCTTTAATAGGCTCTGATACTGCCATCAACGAGGTCTTCCTAGCGATAGACATGTTTTCATCACAACAATGGGCATAGTAAATTTTATGGCAACTCTGCCTCATTTTACCCTCGGCGCGCATGCGCAGCGAGGGTACAGTAGTTGGGGGGTGGGGTGTGTGTCTGTCTAGCTAGCTGTAACATCTCACTTCTCCAATGTTTTTTCGTCTCACTACCTACTGAACGGGCAATGAAGGTCAAAAGTTTTGTGCGGTTTTCTCTGAAACTGCTCCGTTGCAAAGCTAGAGCGCCAATATGCAAATCACAACGGCTTACTACGGTCTGATCGATCCGCGTGCTCTGCGTATATACCTCGGAGGCACCAGAAGATGCAACGCAGGGCGTGTATCGCCTCTCGCATGCTATCTAGTAGTGTAGTTAGCCCGCGTCAGACTGCGCGAGCTGCACGGCAAGAGACCGCGAGTAACTAGTGGTAGACCGCGCATGCGTTTACTGACGCGTGCGCGTCACAATGCGCCGAGGGTTTGCAACTTGTAGTTGCTATTTAACTCACCTCACCGATACGACAACCCAGCCCTCACCCAACCCCCTTCATCCCTTAGCATGAAGGCCTAAGCCCTCATTAGGGATGCTGGCCAAAGGACTGGGCTCTGCTGCTCGAGAGGGGCGTGGCAAAGGGGATTTCCCTCTTCCTGGAGGTGGAGTCATTCCATTTCCGGCTCCACCCCTGCCCAAACCCAGTCCTGATCACACCCCCGAAGGGATGGAGAGAAAAAGAAAGAAAAAACGAGCACGCCAGAGAGGAGCTTCCACCTGGCGACGAGCAAACTAGCAAACTGCCCCGACCACGTGCCCTTTCGCCAAGGCGCATGCGCGCATCGCGGCCGGCTCACCTCGGTTAATGTCTACTTGTCGAGAAGTCTGCCCCCAACATTTACTAGCCCACTATATTATAGCTATTTTCTTTATGGATTATGCCATGATGGTGTTGTGAATTTATCTGGAGCTATAGAGTTTTGTAGCAACTACCATGTGTTGTTTACCTAAATGAGTCAGGGATTAGTTAATTGTCTTTGCCGATACATTGCCATCAATTTACTATGCCCATTGTTGATGAAAAACAAATTTGGTATGTCTCATTGCTGTGATAAAACAAGGTATATCCATTCAGTAGCATGCTATAGACTCTGAATATTCTTACTGTGTGAGTCAGTATTTGCTAAGTGGCAAAATATGTTTCGTATTTTTGAGTGCATAGCTAAACGCGAGGTAATTTTTGCTGTAATGCATAATAATATTATGAATAGGTGGGTTTGGGTAAGCATATAGATACAGGCAGGGAAAGAATCCATAATTATGCTGCTAATAGTGTATATTTCTTTGATAGGCTTCATTGTCTCTTGTGGGGATGGAACCAGGCTGGACCCTTCCACTGACATTATAGACTGAGATGTAAGCCTCATTGCTACTCGTGGCAATAACATCAGATTCTGTTCTTGCCGTGTGAGTCACTACGTTGTAGGCCTCGTTACTTGTCGTAGTGATGGATCTACCCTGAGTTCCACTGCGATCGGGAGACATCACACTGCTGTAGGCCTCGTTACGGCTGGCGACAAAGTTATCTAAGCCTATAGGAAGTTGTGAAACAATAACTTTCAATGTTGATAATTGCAAGTATGCATTACCAGCTTTTCGCCCTCTCCAAACTTTATAACAGTAACAGACAACAGCTGTTACTAGTATCAGCAGGAGACTCAGGCCACTAGCAATGACTATTCCTGCCACTGCACCACCTCCAAGACCACTGCTTCCACTTTCGTTGCCCACTTCTGCATTCTCTTCCTCTGTTATAAAAAGATCATAAACACACTAGTGTTGCTGACTCATGTCTTACCAATGAGAGCTGAAAGGAGAAGTTCGCTGTTCCGAAGCTCGGATATTTGTCCACGGCTTGATGATAGTTGAGAGCAGCCACGTGCATTCCAACGCAGCAGCAAACTACCATCCTTTATGTAGTACCAAACTGTGTCAGATTCTTCACAGAAATCCCACCACGTCACCTTGCCGGACAGTGAAACCGCTCTGAAGCCTGTAACGTGATATTTCCACAAGTGAACGAGTCCGTTTGCTCATCAATTTTCAGCTCGTGATAACTGCCTTCAACTAGACTGTAAGTCCCATTCGGCTGGAGTCGATACATGGCGATTTGTATCTCTTGTGCTTGCCTATTATCGAAAGGATCCAAGCAGTAGCTCCAGCCATACACTGTTCCATTACAAGTGGCCACTTCGTTCTTGTTTATATGCACCCATCCATTTAGAAGATCTCTCCTTTCGCCGGCAGCAGTGGCAGTTGTTCCAGCAGAGCAAGTTGCCGCTGCCCCTGGAAAAAAACATGTTCCAGCTTAACAATTATCAGGCAGGCGATTGAACATACTTGTAGAAGTAGCGAGCATTAGCAAGATAGGGAGCAGGATCGCAGTCTAGTCATCTTCGAAACCCAAGAAAAATAATCATGACATCATAAAGAAAATAACCGCATGCGCATGGCCCAAGGCCCCATCGCGTGCGTGGTATATACTACCTACCTGACATGACTCGAGTCAAGCTGTGCACGCAGAAAGATGACTGCGATCCTGCTCCCTATCTTGCTAATGCTCGCTACTTCTACAAGTATGTTCAATCGCCTGCCTGATAATTGTTAAGCTGGAACATGTTTTTTTCCAGGGGCAGCGGCAACTTGCTCTGCTGGAACAACTGCCACTGCTGCCGGCGAAAGGAGAGATCTTCTAAATGGATGGGTGCATATAAACAAGAACGAAGTGGCCACTTGTAATGGAACAGTGTATGGCTGGAGCTACTGCTTGGATCCTGTCGATAATAGGCAAGCACAAGAGATACAAATCGCCATGTATCGACTCCAGCCGAATGGGACTTACAGTCTAGTTGAAGGGAGTTATCACGAGCTGAAAATTGATGAGCAAACGGACTCGTTCACTTGTGAAAATATCACGTTACAGGCTTCAGAGCGGTTCACTGTCCGGCAAGGTGACGTGGTGGGATTCTGTGAAGAATCTGACACAGTTTGGTACTACATAAAGGATGGTAGTTTGCTGCTGCGTTGGAATGCACGTGGCTGCTCTCAACTATCATCAAGCCGTGGACAAATATCCGAGCTTCGGAACAGCGAACTTCTCCTTTCAGCTCTCATTGGTAAGACATGAGCCAGCAACACTAGTGTGTTTATGATCTTTTTATAACAGAGGAAGAGAGTACAGAAGTGGGCGACGAAAGTGGAAGCAGTGGTCTTGGAGGTGGTGCAGTGGCAGGAATAGTCATTGCAGTACTGACTGTGTTGTCTGCAATGGCTGTTGGTGCAGTGGTCGGTGTGTTCGTCTACTACAAGAGAAAACAGGATAACCAGAAACAAGGAAAGAGCTATGGTATGTAATTGATTCAGCACCTGCATGTGTGTGTGTGTGGGTGTCTGATACCTTGATGACTTTCACTATAAAAGCAAATCAATCGTTTCGTTGTCCGTCCTCTAGATAACCAGACATATCTTGCACAACCAGTGGGGGAGCAAGTAATGCACACTCCCACTGCCCCTAACCATGAATATGAAATGCAGCGAGACACAGAGCACTATGAGATGCAGAATGGGGCCCATCAGGGCATGTGTACGAAATGGGGAACTTTGAACGACTTATAACAGCCGCAGATTACCCAGAAGTGCATGAGGTATGTGTAGGTTGTGGTTTGTGAAGCTCTACATGCCATACTAAGTGGGTTATTCCACACTAACCGCCTACCAGGATGTGTATTCACATGTGTGCAGGTTGAGCCACATTCTCCAGATTCTATACAAGACTACTACTCCAGCATCCTAAATAAGGTATGATTAGCTAAGTCATATGACATGCTTTGTCCTATCAACATGAATATTATGACCAAAGCTGCAATTGGTATTATGGTAGACATAAGTAGTATCCCATAGTAAGTTGACGCTAATGTTGTGTAATATTACAGGCAGTTGAAGAGAATATTTATGAGTCTCTAGCTCCCTACCAAGTTCCAGCTGAGAAAGAAGACGATCTCTACCACCAGATACAGTCCTACCACATCAAAACAATCCCCAGGAATGATATCAAGTCAGCCCACAACCTGCCCACACATGGCACTTTCTGTTTTAATGTTGGAGTGATTCAATGTTAATCAACACTTGGTTCCCACAGGATGGTCTCCCACCTGGGAACAGGAGAGTTTGGAACCGTAAGCAAGGGCCAGTGGACCTCAGAGGGGCGAGTGATGGAGGTGGCAGTGAAGACTCTGACAGACTCGGCCAACACTGTCAAGTTTCTCCAGGAGGCAGCCATCATGGCCCAGTTCAGACACCCCAATGTGACAGCACTCCGCGGTGTTGTCAGCCAAGGAACACCTGTATGTTTGTTGTATAGTAACTTTGACTTCTGGACTCTCCCTCTTGTAATAGAAAATGATGGTATTGGAACTCATGCACAAAGGGGACTTGCATCACTTTCTCAATGCCCTCAGCTCAGAGTAGGTTACATAGATTTCAATTCTGTCAGCCATTTGTCTTTTCCCCATTTCTTTTTCCTGACAAGAACAGAGCAAATGGACTTGCAAAGCTGCTTTTAAACTTCTCCAAACATGTAGCCTTGGGACTACATTACCTTTCATCTATAGGCTTTGTACACAGAGATCTAGCAGCCAGAAATATCCTCGTATCCAAGAACAATATCCTTAAGGTTAGCTTACACTGAAAGTATATGGTGGGTATGTGTTCTGTTTGCTAACAGCTGCTAAGAATTGATTTTCAGATTGCAGACTTTGGGATGTCAAGAGATGTATCTGATGACGACATATACGTCTCACATGGAGGGATGATCCCTGTTCGTTGGACTGCATTAGAAGCACTGCAACACAAGCGATACTCTACTGCCAGTGATGTGTGGAGCTATGGATGTGTCCTCTACGAGATATGGAGTCTTGGACACAAGCCTTTTGAAAGCAGCCAGTTGAAAGGGGTAAACATAAGATACCCCATGCTGTACACAAACTAATACACGTTACACTGAAGTTTGTTCATTGAAAAAAACCATTGTTTCAGCATGTGTCGACAACAAGGGTCTGAAGGCAAAGGCAAGGAAAACCACAAGACTCCCAGTTATGCATGTGTCAAAGTCAATGTCTCAAACAGCACAGTGGTGCTGGCGTGCATGGTTGTCTCTGACAAAAAGAGTCCTCAAGTCCTGAGTTTTGTGTACATTGATAATATAGGCCTGAAATGTCATTGTGTTTATAGATAATGAAATTACTGAAGAGTGGCTATCGTCTTCCCCCTCCACCTGGATGCCCTAAAACCGTCTACCGCCTCATGATTGAATGCTGGTAGGCCATCACCGATAAGAGCAAAATTGACGATAGCTGTGGTTCATGTTATCATGCAGGCACCCAGATTCATCGAGCAGACCTCAACCAAGGGATGTGTTGAAGGGTCTTCTGGGGAATGTTGAGCAGGTACTGGCTGTACCTCCTGAAGATGTGCCAGCTGACAGCCAGGCTGCTGTCCTGGGAGCTCCTCTGGACAGAGCCTCTCATCTCTACCAAGACCTTCAGAACACGTATATAAGCAGAACAAGTAACTAACTCGTGTCTTCCTCAGGTTTTAACTCTAGAGTGTGCTATCATTTTATACCATGAACAAAGTAATGCCATCCTATAATATCTGCACTCCTATTTCCACACACTGTTGAACTTCTTTGCTTGTGGATAGTTTGTGGTGAACCTCAACAACTCTAACTTGACGGCACAATACAACACCTGTGTGGTAACTATAGGACAGCCCTGTGTGATTTCCAATGCAGAAGTGCTTCAATACATAAAATGCCAATGACTGGCCCTCAGGTGTCACTGAGATGAAAATAACTCTCTGCAACTTGCAGCCCTGTAGATTAGAGGTGTTTCATCCCCAGGCCCCTTTTCGAAGTAGGCTAAAGAGCCCCGGGTGTACGAAACCACTGCCCCCAGCACCACACCCCTTTCCTCAGAAGACACTGTGTTGGTTACACCAGCCTTATTACCCTCAGTGAAGGCGACCCACCATTACATCACACCAATTTACCAAATTGGGGTGGGGCTCGTGACGCATGCGCACACACACGCGAGATAGCTGGCTCGAGCGCTCCGATCCCGCTGCTGCTGCCCAGCGAAGACTAACAGCTTGAGTCACGATGTGGTTGAGGTTGTTCGTTATAACTGCAGGACTACGTAAGTTGTGGATATTTCAGAGTGTTTTAAGAGATGTCAGTCTTATTACCCGTGGCCCTTTTCTCCAGTCAGCCCTGTAGTGTCCCAGACTTGCCCCAGCTACACGGCTGGCTACACTGAGACCCAGGCCATCCAACCATCGTCCAATGGTAGGCTCTACGTCAATGAGCTTCCCTCGTCTCTCAGGGCCCAGTGCAGCGGCACTGTTTATCGATGGTATTATTGCTACTACCCCGTTCAGAGACAGAACGACCTGGAAGTAGCATTTGGGGCATTTCGAGCGACGACTGACGACGACGGTGATGTAGATCGCTACTACCTCCGCACTGGTAGCTACTACTTCCTACACTTGGACGCAAGGGAGAACAGTTTCACGTGTGGCTCGGTCGACCTGGACGAGCAAGACTATTTCCAGATCTACGAAAATGACAGAGTCGGTGCTTGCATGAGAAACGGCAACAATGAGTTCCTAGACATTCTAGCTGAGAGTGCCCCCAATAATTACAGAGTGGGCAGGTGGGGCAGTAGCTCTGGCTCATGCCAGGAGAGCGACATGTCTCAGTCTACAGAAGAGCCAGACACTGATCGACAATTTATACTCCACCTCTACGTGGACATAAGTAAGCATCTTTACCAACCATGCACTATGTTACGAACAACAACGATCCTTCAATTAGATATTGACGAGTGTGCTCTGGGTGTGGACAACTGTCACGATACTCTTGCCTACTGCACTGATGTGGTTGGAGGAGAGGAGAGTTTCAACTGCGCCTGTATTGCTGGCTACACTGGTGATGGTGTCACATGCAACAGTAAGTAGGCAGCATTAATATTAATGATTCAAGCATTTTCTCACTATCTTATAGGCATAGATGAGTGTCTGTTAAGGTTGGATGCATGTGTGAAGAATGCAAATTGCTTAGATACTGAGGGCAGCTATGAGTGCATTTGTTCCAGTGGATATAGTGGAGATGGTCTGGTCAATTGCGAGAGTGAGTCCCTGCAAATGCACCCTCGTTGTCAACACACAAACACCTCTATGATTTCTGTACGTATCCAAGCTCACGCAAAGGCAACCTCATGTGACCTTGTGGTCTCTTTCTCCCAGACGTCAATGAGTGTACTGAGGATACCCACATGTGCGATGACGTAGCTATGTGCTCAGACACAGTGGGCAGCTATATCTGCACCTGCATCACTGGATATACTGGCACAGGATTCACCTGCAATGGTAATCGTACAGGAAGTATTATGGACATACTACAGAGTATATACATAGCTTGTTTCCACCAATATAGATTGTGCAGACAACTAATTCCGTTTTTACACATTTTTGCATATTTTCGTATGTTTACAGATGTCAATGAGTGTGGCATTGGCACTGCCATTTGTAGTGAGAATGCAGATTGTACTAATACTGATGGTAGCTACACTTGTTTGTGTCTACCAGGATTAACTGGAGATGGAGAAGTTTGTGTTGGTATGTCTCTGTGCCAAATATGTGGAAATACTATGTTAAAACATAATATTGTTTTGTAGACGTCGATGAATGTTTAGACAGCAAGGTATGTCACTCTGATGCAAGCTGCAACAACGTCTATCGCGGATACACATGTCAGTGCAATGCTGGCTATAGTGGTGATGGAATCAACTGCTTTGGTAAACTCACACCTTACAAAACACATGTCTTCCACTGCTAGCTACACTCATTCATATTCATTGTGCAGATATCAATGAGTGTATGGGTGAAAATCCCTGCCATCCTAATGCTGAATGCAACAACACGGCTGGAAACTACACCTGTCAGTGTGCATCAGGCTTTTTTGGAGATGGAACAACCTGTGAAGGTATGGTACATTGTATGGCTGAACATCATGCTATGTGAGCCTTTTCTGCTACTTGTAGCTGTTGAAGAGGAATCAGAAGAATCCCAGAGCCAATTTAGTGTCGTAGCAATAGTTCTGAGTGTGCTGGGATGTCTCCTGTTGTTAACTCTCATAATTATTTTGGTATTCTACGTCATTGTAAGGATCACCAAACTACTCCCTGTCTACTGGAAGCGAAACATGAGGAGTGGAATCGGTAAGCTGTGTGTAGTATAATAACAAGTGGAAAAATCATTTCTTCAAAATGAAGGGG